CGCAGGATGTTGGCGACGTTGATGTTGTTGGTGATCGCCAGGATGCCGCTGTGATCCTGCAGCGCCTTGGCGACCTCCTCCGTGGTCGTCCCGATGTTGATCAGGATCGAAGCCTGGTCGGGGATCAGCCGCGCCGCGGCCTGGGCGATCGCCTGCTTGGCCTCGCGCGCGATCAGGCGGCGCGCCTCGTAGCCGACGTTCTCCACGGTGGAGCCGATGATCGCGCCGCCGTGCACCCGGTCGAGCAGGCCGCGCTCGCACAGCTCGTTGAGGTCCTTGCGGATGGTCTGGGCGGAGACGCCGAAGCGCGCGGCCAGCCCCTCGACACCGACCCGGCCGCTCTGCTTGGCGATCTCGAGGATCTGGTTCTGCCGTTCGATCAGCATGCTGCGGCCCTGCGCCCCCTCGCCTCGGCTTTCGGATTGACCTTAGGATAGCGGGCCAGATGAAAACGGAAAAGAAAGCGACGGTCATGGAGCTGCCCTTCCGCGACGATCTCTTCGCCGGCCGGCGCGCCCTGGTGACCGGAGCCGGCCGCGGCATCGGCCGGGCGGTGGCCCGCGCCCTGCTGGCCGGCGGCGCCCGCGTGCTGGTCCACACCGGCACCGCCGCACGCGCGCCGACGGAGATCTTTCCCGAGCTGCCCGCCGAGGCGGCGGCGCGCCTGGCCGTAACCCACGCCGACCTCGGCGAGGCGGCGGCGGCCGAGGCCCTGGTCGCCCGCGCCGAAGCGGAGCTCGGCGGGCTCGACCTGCTGATCAACAACGCCGGCACCATGCTGGGCCGCCGGCCGGCGGCGGAGATGACCGCGGCGCACTACGCGGCGGTGACCGACCTCAACGCGCGCGCGGTGGTCCTGCTCTCGACCGCCGCGATCCCGCTGCTGCGCGCCGCGCCGGCGGCGGCGATCGTCAACACCGTGTCGATCTCGGCGCGCACCGGCGGCAGTCCCGGCTCCTCGGTCTACTCGGCGGCCAAGGCCTTCGTCGCCACCCACACCCGCGCCCTGGCGCGCGAGCTGGCCGGCGACGGCATCCGCGTCAACGCGGTTTCGCCCGGCACCATCATGACCGACTTCCACCGCCGCTACTCGACGCCGGAAAAGCTGGCGGCCACGGCCGCGGCGATCCCGCTGAAGCGCCTGGGCACCGCCGAGGACTGCGTCGGCGCCTACCTCTTCCTGGCCGCGCCCGAGCTGTCGGGCTACATCACCGGCCAGGTGATCGAGGTCAACGGCGGCCAGCTCATGGCCTGAGGCCGCGCGCGCCGGGCCTCGTCTCGCGCCGCGGCTACCGCCCGACCCGGGCGCCGGCGCGTTGCACTCGGCCGCGCCCTCCCCCATCTTTGGGGACTCGCCGCGCGGCGTTTCGCTGCGCACGCGTTTGTTCGATGTCGAGGTCCGTCCACGCCATGCCCATCAAGATTCCCGCCAACTCGCCGGCCGAGCGCATCCTCGGCGAGGAAGGCGTCGAGCTGATCGAGACGGAGGTGGCCCTGCGCCAGGACATCCGCCCCTTGCGGATCCTGCTGCTCAACCTCATGCCCATCAAGATCGCCACCGAGGTACAGATCGCGCGCCTGCTCAGCCACACGCCGATGCAGGTCGAGCTGGGGCTGCTGACCACCAGCAGCTACACGCCGCACAACACCTCGCGCGAATACCTGCAGACCTTCTATCGCACCCTCGACGAGGTGCGCGACGAGCACTTCGACGGGCTGATCGTGACCGGCGCGCCGGTCGAGCGCCTGCCCTTCGAGGCGGTCGAGTACTGGTCCGAGCTGCTGGACATCCTGGCCTGGGCCAAGACCAACGTGTTTCGCCGCCTCTACCTCTGCTGGGGCGCGCAGGCGGCGCTCTGGGCCCAGTTCGGCATCGAGAAGCTGCTGTTCGAGGAGAAGCTGTTCGGCCTCTACGAGCAGGAGGTGCTGACGCCGCGCCACCCCGTGCTGCGCGGCTTTCCCGACGTCTTCCAGGTGCCCGTCTCGCGCTACTCCGGCGTGCGCCGCGCGGACATCCAGGCCCACCCGGAGCTGGAGCTGCTGATCGACTCGGCCGAGTCGGGCCCCTGCATGGTCGGCCACCGCGCCACCGGCGACCTCTACATGTTCAACCACCTGGAATACGACACCCGCACGCTGCACGACGAGTACCAGCGCGACCTCGACCGCGAGGCCGGCATCGCGCCGCCGCGCAACTACTTCGCCGACCCGGACCTCAGCCGGCCGCGCCCCAACGTCTGGCGGCCGCTGGCCTACCTGCTGTTCAGCAACTGGAACTACTGGCTCTACGAGGACACGCCGCACGACCTCTCGATCCTGCGCCAGGCGCAGACCAAGGAGCCGGCGGCGTAGGGCCAGCCCCGCGCCGTCAGGCGGCGTTCTGCCAGTCGGCGAGCAGCGCGCGGTAGATCTCCACCGCCTCGGGGATGCGCGCGACGCAGCAGTACTCGTCGGTCTGGTGCGCCATCGGCGCCTCGCCCGGCCCGCAGACCAGGGTCGGCACGCCGCCCAGCGCCGGCGTCAGCACCGAGGCGTCGCTGAAGTAGTTGGCGCCGGCGTCGTCGCTGGGCTGGCCGGCGATCGCGGCCGCGCAGGCTCTGGCATGGCGCAGCCAGGGCGAGCTCGCCGCCTCGCTCCAGACAGGCGCGAGGTCGACCAGCGTCTCCACCTCGGCCTCGGCGCCCAGGTAGCTGCACATCTGCGCGCGCAGCCGGTCGTTGCCCATCCCCGGCAGGGTGCGCAGGTCGATGCCGATCTCGGCCCGATCGGGCACCGAGTTGACGTTCTGCCCGGCCTCCAGAGTGCCGACGTTGAGCGTCGGCGCGCCGAGGCCGGGGTGGCGGGCGACGTTGAAGTCGAAGTCCTCGAGCGCCGCGACCAGGCGCGCGGCCTTGTAGATCGCGTTGATCCCCTCGTGCGGCATGGAGCCGTGCGCGCTCTTGCCGCTGGTGGTGGCCTTCAGCCAGAGCGCGCCCTTGTGGCCGACCAGCGGCCGGTTGGAGGTCGGCTCGGCCACCACCAGCGCGCCGGCCCGGCCCAGCTTGCCGGCCGCCGCCAGGGCCTTGGCGCCGTCGCAGCCGGTCTCCTCTCCGGCGGTCAGGATCAGCAGCGCCCCCGGCCCGGCGCGCAGCCGCTCGGCCTCGGCGAGGGCGGCGACCACGAAGGCGGCGATGCCGCTCTTCATGTCGCTGGCCCCGCGGCCGTAGAGCCGCCCCTCGGCGATCTCGCCGCCGAAGGGGTCGCGGCTCCAGGTCCGGGTGCCCAGCGGCACGGTGTCCAGGTGTCCGGTAAAGGCCAGCGGCGGCGCCGGTGCGTCCGCCGCGCCGAGGCGCGCCACCAGATTGGGCCGGCCGGGGGCCAGCTCGTGCAGCTCCACCGCGAAGCCGGCCGCCTCCAGCAGCTCGGCCAGATGCGCCGCGCAGGCCGCTTCCGCGCCCGGCGGATTGCGGCTGTCGAAGCCGATCAGTGTCTGTGTCAGGGCGACGGCGTCGTCGGTCATGGCCTGGCTCTCCTGCTGGCGGCCCGCCGGCGGGCGGACGCGGGGACCCTAGTCCAGGCCTTTCCTGAGATTCAAGAAGCTTGAATGAGCGGCGACGGCGCCGCCCGGGGCAGAAGATCGGGCGACGGCGCCGCCCGGTCAGAAGGTCGGCGGCGTATTCACCCACATGATCCGCGCCGGCCTGTCGCCCAGGTTGCGGTAGCCGTGCGGCGTCTCCGAACGGAAGCAGAAGGTGTCGCCGGCGCTGAGCGTGTAGACCGTCTCGCCGATGGTCAGCTCCAGGCTGCCCTCGATGACGTAGCCGACCTCCTCGCCGAGGTGGGAGATGTGCCCGGCGCTGGAGCCGCCGGGGCTGACCACGTGGATGTTGGCCTGCAGCATGTGGGCCTTGCTGTAGGGGATCACCCGCTCCAGCACCACGCCGGGTCCATGGCGCAGGGCGTCCAGCTCGATGATCGGGCGGGCGCCGTGGCGGGTCACCGGCCCCTCGCTTTCGCCGTCGGAGAAGAGCGCGCCGATGTTGATGTCGAGGGCGCTCGTCAGGCGCTGCAGCATGGCGAGGGAGGGGTTCACCCGCATGGTCTCGATCTTGGAGAGCATGCTCTCGGAGCAGCCGGCCTGCTCCGCCACCTCCTTCAGCGTCAGGCCGCGAGTCATGCGCGCGTGCCGCAGCTTCACCCCGAAGTTGTTGGCCAGCTCTTCCGCCATCGCCCCTACCCGTCAACGTCGTCCCGAACCGTCAGGCGCTTTATGAGGCAGCCTCGGCGGCGGCACAAGCCGGGGCCGGACGCACCACCTGCGGCTGTCGCCGGCGTCGGTCGCCCGCCCGGCGGCGTGGTACGGTCGCCGGTCCGTCCGCCCGGCGGTCCGCCCAGCCGGCCGGCCCGGCGCAGAGTCAGGCGACCCGTGCGGCCTGCAGGTAGTGATCGACGTCGCCGCGCAGATGCTCGGCTTGCCGGGCCAGCTCGGCGGCGGCGGCGGCCACGTCGCGCGAGGCCCGGTCGGTCTCGCCGGCCGAGGCGCTCACCTGCTCGGTGCTGCGGGCCACCTCCTCGGTCCCGCTGGAGGCCTCCTGCACGTTGCGGGTGATCGCGTCGGTGGCCGAGGTCTGCTGGTCGACCGCCGCGGCGATGGACCCGGACATGCCGCTGACCTCCGCGATCGAGCCGACGATGGCCTCGATCGCCGCGACCGCCTCGGTGGTGGCGCTGCGGATGGCGGCCACCTGGGTCTGGATCTGCTCGGTCGCCTGACCGGTCTGGCCGGCCAGGTTCTTGACCTCGCCGGCGACCACGGCGAAGCCCTTGCCCGCCTCGCCGGCGCGCGCCGCCTCGATCGTCGCGTTGAGCGCCAGCAGGTTGGTCTGGTCGGAGATCTCGCTGATCAGCGAGACAACGCTGCCGATCTCGTCGGCGGCGGCGTTGAGGGCACCGACCAGCTTGTTCGCCGCCTCGGCCTTCCGGCCGGCCGCCGTGGTCGCGGACTCGGCCTCGGCGACCTGGCGGGCGATCTCCGCGATCGAGGCGGCCAGCTCGCCGGTCGAGTTCGCCACTGCCTGGACGTTGGACGAGGCCTGCTCGGTCGCCGCCGCCGCCGAGGTGCTCTGCCGGGTCGCCGCGGCGGCCAGCCCGGTCAGGTGGTCGGCCGTGGACTGCAGCTCGCCGGCCGAGCCGGCGACCGCCTCGACGACCCGGCCGACCTTCTCCTCGAAGCCGTCGGTCAGCTCCGCGAAGTGGCGGACCCGACCGGAGATGCTGGCCGTCGCGGTGTTGATCCGCTCGGCCGTCTGCAGGAAGTGGCCGCTCAGGCCGCCCGGCCGGATCAGGCGGTAGTAGCGGCCCTGCTCCACCGCCTCCATGGTCGAGCCCGCCTCGCGCACGAAGGCGTCGGTGACGTCGATCAGACGATTGACCCCGCGCAGCATGCCGCCCAGCTCGCCGCCCTGGTCGAGGCGCACCAGCCGGTGCTCGAAATCGCCGGCGGCCACCGCCTCGACGGTCTGGCGCACGCGGCCGATCCAGCCGGCGACGCGCCCCAGGTGCCAGAAGGCCAGGGCGGCGGAGAGCAGCGTCAGGCCGGCGACGGCCGACAGCACCGCCGGCGGCACCGGCAGCCAGGCCAGCACGAAGACGGCAAACGAGCAGAGCCCGCCGAACAGGGCAGCGAGCCGCGCCTTAGAGAGAGAGCACAAAGCGGTCATAGGGCACGCCCTGTTCGGCAAGAAGGGACTGGAGCTTTTCCGTGGCGGCGGCCATCCCCTGCTTGCGGTTGGCCTGGCTTTCCTCGATGGCGCGCAGGTCGCGATAGAGGGCGGCAGCCTTGGCGACGGCCTCGGCCGCGGGCTTGCGGCGGTTGGAGTGATAGCCGACCAGCTCGCCACGCGGGCCGTAGCTGGGCGTGACATGGGCCAGCACCCAGTAGTGGTCGCCCGACTTCGCCATGTTGATGACGTAGGCGAAAATCTCGCCGCCGGCCTCGATGGTGTCCCACAGCAGCTTGAAGACGCAGCGCGGCATGTCCGGATGGCGGATGATGGAGTGCGGCTGGCCGAGCAGCTCCGTCTCGCGGAACCCGGCGACCCGTTGGAAGACGTCGTTGCAGTAAGTGATGCGCCCCTTCAGGTCGGTCTTCGAGACGATCAGCTCGTCCGCCTCGAAGCGCGACTCGCGCCCCGTCGGCGTGACCGCGCGCATCATGCTGGAGAGGGTTTCGGCTCTCGACATCGGGCAGTGGCAGTCCTCGGTTCGCGCCGATACTCGGCGCAGCTTTCCTCTTGCCGCCAAGCAACCCCATAGACGGTCAAGGAATCCCTAACAGGCCATCGATTCCACGCCGGCGCGGCAGCGCTGGCCGGCGCAGCGATGCCGTGGGGCATCGCCCGCACGCCGAACTCGGCGTGAGGTGTGAGGGCCTGGACGCGCCCCGGCGCCCGCCGGCGCGGCGCTACTCCGCGGCCACCGCCGCCGCCTCGCTTCGCCGCTCCTCCAGCGCCTGGCGGATGATCTGCGCCGCCGACCAGAGGAACAGCCCCGCCATCAGCGCGGCGACCAGCAGGTCCGGCCAGGCCGTGCCGGTCAGCGCGACGCCGCCGGCCGCCGCCAGCACCGCGACGTTGCCGATCGCGTCGTTGCGGCTGCACAGCCAGACCGAGCGGACGTTGGAGTCGCCGTCCTTGTAGCGCAGCAGCACCAGCACGCTGGCCAGGTTGGCCGCCAGGGCGAGCAGGCCGATCAGTCCCATCACCGGCGCGTTGGGCAGGCCGAGCACGAGCACCTGGTAGGCCGTGCTGGCGAAGACCAACAGCCCCATGGCAGCGAGACTGACCCCCTTAACAAGGGCCGCCGTCGCCCGCGCCCGCAGCGACATGCCCAGCACGAAGAGACTGAGGCCGTAGGTCAGGGTATCGCCGAGGAAGTCCAGCGCGTCGGCCTTTAGCGCCTGGGAGCCGGCCAGGGCGCCGGCCGCCATCTCGACGACGAACATCGTCGCATTGATGGCGATGACGAGCCAGAGGGCGCGGCGGAAGCCGCGCGACAACCCATCGAACTTGGGCGTTTGGTTGCAACAGCCTGCGGCCATGTGCTCCTCCGGGCGGCGCCCTTTCGTCTCGGCTGCCTTCTATCTACTCTCTACAGTCGCTGTAGGTTCAAGAGGGAGATGTCGATGCCGACCGCCCCCGCGCGCCCCACCCCGGCCTCGGCGCCGCGCCGGTCCGCCGGACTGACCATCGGCCGGGTCGCCGCCGCGACCGGCTGCAAAGTGCAGACCATCCGCTACTACGAGGAGATCGGCCTGCTGGCGCGTCCGGCCCGCTCGCGGGGCAACCAACGGCTCTACGACGCGGCCGCGGTGGAGCGCTTGACCTTCATCCGCCACGCCCGCGAGCTCGGCTTTCCGCTCGAGGCGATCCGCGACCTGCTGAGCCTGGCCGATCGGCCGGAGCAGTGCTGCGCGGCGGCTGATGCCATCGCCCGCCGGCACCTGGAGCAGGTGGAGCAGCGGATCGCGCGGCTGACCGCGCTCGAGGCCGAGCTCAAGCGCATGATCGCGCAGTGCTCCGGCGGCCGGATCTCGGACTGCCGCGTGATCGAAGCCCTGGGCGACCCGGCGGGCGGCCAGGCGACGTGCTGACCCCAGGGTCCCTGGCCGGCGAAAGCGAGCGAGCGCGCCTTCAGGCCGAGGACGCCGGCCCATCAGAGGCTTCCGGTTTCCACGGACGCCGCCGTTGGCGACTGGGGCCGGGCCACCGGGGATTGAGCAACCGGGGATTGGCCAGCCGGGGATTGGCCAGCCGGGGCCCACTCCGCTTCCGGCGCCGTGTCGGACCAACAGAACCGCAGCCCCCGGAAGCCGTCGCGCAAGGCGCGCACCCGCCGCGACACGAGGCGCGGCGGGCGCCGGTCTAGGGCGGTTTCCGATCGAGTGG